ACTCAGAGATTTAACTATAGTATCACTTATATTTATAACCTATTATTTATATTTTTCTATACTACAGTGAGAAATCTTGTATTTAGGCTAATCTCAGACTGAGGTGATTGAAAAAAATATTTCTGCAAGTGAATAAACTTCCATTTTGACTGATGATAAAAACGTTGACATAAGATGAAGTGACATTATAAAAAGTGAAACTGCTAAAAGCCTGTCTGGACCCCTCATGATCAATATTTGAGATGAAATAAGAAAGAAAATAAATGAAAATGTTAAATTGTGGCAGGCAGAGAATATTTTAAATAGTCATAAAATATAAAATGTTGACATATCCCCTTGGCTACAACTGACACTCCTCCGATAATGTACTGTAACTGGATCTGTTGTGGCTACTGTAACTGTATCAAACACGATACGATACTTCCTACATCACTTTGCCAGATCTCTTCAAATTGATGCTCGCAAAAAAATAACCAAATAGGCAAACGCACACAAAGACATTCATTTACAGTACCATCAGGCACTAAATATTAACTAAATTGAAAAGTCCATCATCATTTATAATTCAATAGAGCAGCGATATACTGACTAAATTAGAGACATACACTGACAGCGTTCCAAGTGCTCTAGCAAACGTCATGCAACGCAAGCTGATGTACAACCTTGTTACCCTTGAACGATTTCTCCAACTCTCTCAGACATGTTTTGAATGTCATCACACGATAAAGCAGGACATCGGCATCCACTTTTACCAGAAACAAACTTTTAAAAAAAATCGTTGTTGGGTACATCATCATTGGATTACTTGTGGGAATGCGTGCGAGGTGAGTGGTCTGATACAAGATGGCTTCCCATCTTCTTCCTTTTTTTTGTTTACTAATTTTCAAAAATGTCATTATTGTTTATCATGAGGTTCAAGTTGCTTTCTGAACTGGGTTGGCGGCCGGATTTGATGAATAGGGGGTCTAATGTCCCAACGAAAGGCCCTGTGTACCTGATAAGAGCGCAAGTGGTTATGTCCAGGGGGTGCCCAGAAGTACTGGAAAGGTTCCCAGAGGTTGTGGACAGATGAGAGTATCTGGTACCAGTTTACCGGCCATCTCAGACATCTCTTTATGGGAGAAGAAAGTTACTGTATGAACTAATGTAGTCCACGCTTTGAGTGCTCTATCTTCATAAAATAGCACTATATAAATGTTGTATGTATGTATGTATCTAAAACCCTGACAGCTATTCAATTTAGGGATTTGAAAGGCTTATTTATTATGATCCTTTTTATAAATAAGCTATTACCTGTTAAAATTTCTGTGGCAGATGACATAAATAAGACTGTACACATTTATTATAGAATTTTCATCTGTATATGCTGATTTTTAAAGACCATATTTGATATTCAAAGGAGGAGGAAGTGTACCATCCTCCACCATTCAGAATCTTCCATTTCACTGCCTGTATGTCCTTTTTCAAAAAGATTTGCTAATATCCGGATTCTGAAATTAGTTACGTTGGAAAGTAATGATAAGTGATGTGAATTATAGTACCATGGAAACGTATGGTACGAATGTATGTTCGTATTTTGTTGCTATGGTTATCATCACCTTTTCTTAAACTAATTTAATTTCTACTGGCAAGAGTAACTCGCTCAAGGTTAATATTAGTAAAGCTACATTTGAATAATTATAAAATTATTCAAACACATTCAGTGTACAGTAATTGTCGATGGAGTTTGCATGGCAAATCCGGCCAGTCTTAAGTTGTGTCCACACTATCAAATTTTATATGAAGATTACAAGTGATCTGTCCATATATGGACATGTCATATCACACCTTCTGTACAGTATACTGAGTTTTATTATATATGATAATGTCATAATAATAATAATAATAATAATAGTGTAGTTTTATATAGCGCACATATCCATCTAATGTAAGATGCTGAGGGTGCTTGCCATGTGGATTGGGAACTCGATCAATGACTTTCTTCGCCCCTTCGTGACTGTGCTACCCGGTACCAGCAACTCTCGTCGTCCACCACAGGGGCTGTCTGTTCCAGTACATCGGGGTATCCCCCTACTCGTCTTGAAGGATATACTGGGTTCTTTATAGTGCACACGAGCCATTGTATACACTGGGCCTACGGTTTATAGTCCTTATCTGGTGAAGTTGTATCACAAGGGCAAATTGGGGAAGATCCAATAGCGGACAAATGCCCCCCCCCCCCCACAGTCTATCCCTGTTTTTGTTTTTATAACTACATAATAACATTTTAGTACATACAATTCCATGTAATGGTTCAAGACTAAACAAAAAATTGTATAGGTATCTAAAAATAAAAATATTATTTATTTACCATACTGTATTAATTTAAAACCATCTACTGTACATTTTTTTATTCATCAATAAAATTTTATTTCTATAATTTTCTTATCTGTCTACATGCTTTTACCAAAACCACTTTGCTAAATGAGAAATTTTTTCTGCCCCGCATCTAAGAAGCCTTAAAAATTAAAGCATGCTCAACAATGTATTAAAAAGTCTTGTGCATGTCCTAAAATAAATGAATATAAAAACCTAATATATGCAGTGCCATCAAAAAATGTATAGACTACATTTCTCATACCATATTCCATTGAATAATACTAATTTTGTTATCTTTATTTCTGTGTATTAATTAGAACATTCAAATGGTATATAAAATTTGAATTTTGATTTGATTTTTTTTTCCAATAGTAAATGTAGCCTCCAATTACAGAATGGAATTGAATAAATCAAATTAAATGAAATATTGATTTCAAATGTCATTCTGCCATAAGGTAATGTAAACTTTTCATATTGAATGGAAATAAAATACAACTGTGGTAAAGGGGACACGTAAGCTTGAAAAAATGAACAGACATGAGTTGAATCGCAAAATGATGTTAGAACAAAATCTACAGATAAATAGTAAAAACTAACATCTTATACGCCCAACATACAAAGATCGTCCAAACATCTCAAATTCGGGGGTCGTCTTATACGCGGATCAACTTATATACGCGAAAATTATGGTAATAAATTCAATACTTTTAACTGAGCAATCCAATTGTTGATCTTTTTAGCTTTCTTTTTAAAAAATTCATTACTTGCCAATCCAATGTATATTTTGTATATTGCATTTTGAGATATTGAATAAATCATATTTAATCAAATCATAAACCGTAGTTTACAACGTTATCCTGTATTTTGATAATTTTTTACGTTAATTTCTTATGATGAACATGTTTATCATAAAACAAGCAGGAGTTCTGATTAGTTTACATTATGCGGTTTAGAAAAAAATGAGGGAAAAAAACAGCATCATTCGTCAGACAAGGATGGAATGATGCACAT